TTATATATATATATATATAGATTTAATTTATATTAATATTTATGTATAAGTAAAATTTTAATCAACGGCTTATATGTGATAATCAAATTTTAATATTTCTGTAGCTCGTTATATTCCTACATTTCCTAGTTTTTAGTGCAAGGTAAGGAAAAACTGTTCTTGTATTTTTTTTGCTAAATCTAACAAAATCATTTTAACGTGATTTTCAAATTATCGTCACGCGACGCTGAAACGGAACTTTGCTTTTAGAAGTTATAGCGATTTAGTACTGTCCAACGATAGAGTAGCGACTAGGCCTTAGGTAACTAGTTAGGGTAGCTAACATGTGTAGTGGTTTGTTACAGACGACCACCATCCTCCCCCCACATTCACTCCGCCAGAACTGCCCAAGATGGTTCACGTAAGAGGTACAGTTACACCTCAATCAAAAACCATGCTACAGTCTCGCAAGCTGCCCTTTCTAATTTCGATTGGCAATACGACACGAATACGCTAACGAGAAGTTGCTTAACAATTAGCAAATACGACGATCCTAAAAAGAATCACTGCTCTCGATCGACATCTCTCGGAAATTCGATCTTCCGCACTTAATACGCTTCGTCAAACTCGCTTGAGCGATAGGTTCTTGATACGTCGTGTTCGATTAAGATTTTTCTTTTTATCAAAGTTTACCGCGCTAATTTTGTGTTGCTGAAACATTGGGAAAAGTAGAAAAAAAATTATATGTAATGAAATGTCAATCTTTTGTTCTAATCATGATTGTGTGTGCTAATATACATTCTCGTACATATTACTTTCTCCATTATTGACAGCGTTGCATGAAGTTGTTTAATAGATTCAATATCTGTTCATACTTTTCCGTCATTTTATTTCTAGTGTAGTGTATATTTTAAGTTATTTTATGTCGTATTTCTTTAATGACTATTTCATTTAGAGTCATCTTTATTACATACAATTATATATTTCATGTTTTATAAATTATAAAAAGTAAGATAAATTATTCGGTTTTTAAATTCATTGAATTAGTTTGCACAAAACACAATTTTAGTATAGTTGCAATAGCATTCAGTAGTTATACAAATCTTATATTTTTTTAAATATTATTTATTTATTTTGCTTCATCATAGATTCATAAAATATTAAATACATTTCGCAGAAGTTAATGACCAAAATACATTTATTTGCTGACCTATTTGTTTTCTTTAGTCGAAGTAAATTACATTGACGGACGTGTGTATCATTTCTAAACGTGTTTTTTTTCACGAAGAAACGAATAAACAGGCAATTTTCCGAAAAATAATATTCGTAATTGTTTTTCGATATAATAATTTATTATTGGAAAAAATAAATTTTGCTATAAATTAACTTTTTTCACAAAATTGTAAAAATTCAAAAGATATCAAAAAGTATATTTTTTGAATATATAGACAAAGAATGTCAAAGTTATTGGAAATAAGTTAAAATCGCGTAATTAAAATCGCATAATTAAAATGCTCGATATCTATTGGTGCTCGTCTGCGTAAGTAGTAAATTGTTTCTAATTATGCAAATGTTTCTCATACTTTCACGTCAACTTATAAATTAAATATAAAAACAAATTTGTTATAAATTACAGATTTACTCCGAAATTCTCTTCTTTTATCTTAATAATATCTTATTTATTGCAATATGTAAATTATAAATGTTACTTTATTGAGTCGAATTAGTTTTTGACAATACAAGTCTGAGAAACGTTACTTTAGTTCAAATAATTTTTGCTGAACTAATTTTTCCCCTTAAACTTTGTGTATCGTAAATAGAATTTTTTTCTCTCATACATTTAGAATGTTTGTTCCACGACTAAGTCGTTGACTTTGTGAAACGCGCTTTTCGATCGATAGTATCTTGTTGCTTTCAACTTTGTGAAGATGGATTTATGGTTGTATACACAGCACGGTAGATTAATGGTTTCTAATATATGGAAGTTTTAGTTTGGTAACATCTGTGTTTGTTGACGAATATGTGTGTACATCATCTACTTTATAATTTTGTTTCATCATTACAGAAAATGGTTGTTCAAGAAACTACCGCGACAGGCGCCATATGTTGTCCCTCGTTAATTTTCATAGCGCCACAATAGCTTGCAATATTTCTAAGGCAGATATTGCTTTTTACTTACGTAATGAATCGTGGATAAATTTTATTTTCTACTTTTGATTTTACATTTTAAAAATATAGTTTCAGAGAAAAAAATATTTAATATTTATTATACAATTTTTATAATCGAATTTTGGAACAATTATTCTATAAGAAATACTTTGCATTATTTTTAGAATTACACAATCGAATGAACAAATCAATTTCCTAGCAAAATGATTTGTAATCAGACATGATATTATATTAGACAAATAATTTTAATGTATAAAAGTTTGAAAATTTTGCGATTAAAGATCTTTTGATTTGATCGTCGCCATTAATTATTAATCTTGTACACATGCAAAATACATGTATAGGGTGAAGTATGCGCGCCTGTAAGCATGGGGCTGTAGGCTCATCACGAAAATAATATACGCTGTAATGGGGGAGTTAGGTCACGATCAGTGTGACACTTTAATTGTTTTAATCATTGTTGCTTTACCCACTATCGACGATAAATAGGATGCTCAGATTTGGAATTAACACTGTTCTATCTATTTTAGGTGAAATCAGCCGTGAACGAGACGATCCGAATGGTAAGTTTTAGTTACGAGATGTGTAATATTAATTAATTCAATTTAATGATTTGTTAATTTTAATTATAAAATGATTAAAAACTTATATTAACTCTTGATGTGAAATATCTTTCTATCATTGATTATTTAATATTATTTTATCAATATTACTGATAATCCTTTTACATTGCAGCCATGAGAAATCATCGGAACTCCATCGGGATGACCATGATAAATTCGACAAAGCAAGTCAACAAGGTGAAGCCAAACGTAAATCGAGCGATAAACGACAGTCTTTCCAGCCCGAATCAGCCGTATAATCAGAGGTACCTAATTATCTGCAGCACATTACAATTTCATCATCACCTGACATATTCGCATCCAAACATGATCACTTACATCGCCATCGTATATAAAAAATTATAATTTCATCCATAATCATTGATTATCAGAGTACTTAATGATAACGCCTGTTTTGCACCCAACCAAGGCAATACATGCGAATTTCGCTACTGAGAATTAACATAAGAAGGCGAGAAGCGATCTTCCCAAAGCTCGGATTTTTTTAATATATATTTTGTTATGTCACCTTGTGGCGAGACTTACAGTGCACTCGACATTTGATATCGACACGTATTTTCTAAACAATAAGAATCGCTTTCTTCTCTGATTGTGAGTCGCTTGAACGTAAATATCTTCCTAAAGTACGCTCTGATCTCTTACTGTCCTGTTGTACAACCATTATTTATTAATTTAGATTTTATCACTTTCCTTTAATTACAAGCTTACATGTATTACTCATAGCTGCACGATTAGAGTTACACAGACTCTTTCACGTGTACACAGAGGTTATTCAAATTGTAACTGAATTCAAATTGGCAAATAAGACAAAATTTTGCCAAGCCGTTCTGTGTGAGAAACTTTTCACTGTGTACGTAATATGTTGCACAATACCTTCTAATTAACAAATTGGCAATGAATTTTGAATAACCTAATTATACATGTCACAAAGTAAATTGTGCAGTTTTAAATATGTGCCTTTTATATTGTTCTTTTTTTTGTAAATGCGTGTACTTTTCAGCTAAATAATATTAATTATTAATCCATTAATATAACAACGTCCTACTTTGATCGAGTGCACTAGAATGATCTGCACATTAATGTATCAACGATTTTCGCATTAGCATTTTTCTAGCATGTTCCTAAAACCGTTAAACGTACAATCCATATAACCAAACAAGGTTTAATGTGCAGATTCTCGGTAGAGATCTTCGATGCGATCCAGAATCATCTTATCTACGATCGAAAGAGTAGTTTTGATATTTATGTGTATATCGAGTCACCGTTGATATGTAAACCAAATTAATTCCTGATCGTTTATATTTAATTTTGTTACATTTATAAAAGTATTATTTTTTTTGTGAAAGGACATATAGCCTAATCGGATATATCGTATATCTTCTATAGGGATAAAATGATCCCAGTTGACATCAATTAAAAATAACATGACATCTATATATAATATATTATAATTTTGCACTCAATAATTTAACTGTTACGTAACACCAAGTGTTATATTATATTTATATTGTTGAGTGCAAAATTGCAACATAGATGTTATGTTACTTTTATTTCATGTCAATTAGGTGTTAGATACAGAAGCAGCATGTTAATTGGAAGCAAAAGAGATAAGTGCTTTCTATCGTTTTGCTCAAGTGTTGACAAAGGGCACCGTAAACTTGAACAAACGGTTCGCATAAATCACGAGAGAAATCGCGCGAGGACGACAGCCACTTGTACTACGTTGCTGAATGGTGCGAGTAATAGGCTACAGGTGGTCGTTGACATTTTCCGATGAACCTGTTACACATCCGCTAGATTAGTTTCTGCAATTTCTCTCTATTATTATTCCAAGATCTCGAACATTTGGTATTTTTTCCAACAAACATGTATTCGTACTTTTGCAACCAAATTTTTTTTACATTAAAACAGAATCACATGAAGTAGCAATATTTCCTTTCACAATTAAAATCGGACAATCGTCTTGATTTAATTGCCGAAGAATCACTCATCCTCATCATTATATTTTTCATCAACTGGACCAAATCAGAGAGAGAGAGAGAGGGAGAGAGAGAGAGAGAGAGTCATCTGAGAATAGATCCAACGTTACGCAAACCTTCTGATTCCAGATCGCAAGAGGAGTCTGCATACGCTGGCTACCATCTCGCCTACGAAGTCAAAAAGCTCATGTACGCTTCTGTTGTTAACGCTACCTTGTACTGTGACGTGATTATGCGACTGCTTTATCCCACGGCTGTGTAATAATAATGAACATGCTCCCTGCATGTTAAGTGATGCTCGACTCTGAATATAATTCGCGATAGAATTTAACCAAAACGCATCTCTTTTCTACGAGAAAGAATGTGTTAAGAATATTACGTGTATATATATCTACTTAATTACCGACGTAAAATTAAATTTAATGTTCGTAATAATTCATTTGTTTTCGATATGTTCAATTCTTTTATAAAATTAATTTTTAGTGTTTTACCAGCTCACATTTTTTTAAATCAAATGTTATTTATCACACACAGAAAGATCAACTGAATAATTTGATGTGCTTTTATCTGACAAAATTATTCAATCGTTAATAAACATTATACGCCAGAGAAAAATTATATCTGCCAAATTAAATGCGCTTATAAGTTAATCTTTTTATTTTTTGTTTTATAGGACAATAAATTATTAAAAATATAGCCTAATATAGATAGTCATAAATATTACAACGAATATTACAAATAGAGCAGTATGTTCTATGTTAAATTTTTCATATCATATTACACCTTCGAAATTGCGCATTGCACTGCAGTTACATATCGCATGGTGCGACAGCAAAAAGTATAGAAGTCCATAGAGTTTTATGAATATACTTAATCTTGGAAAACATGCACCACTGATATTAACGACGCTCGTAAAAATATATAGGTATCATATGTCGAAATATAAGTTTCAATGGTCGTTTACGTTTTGTTCACATGCGTGAAAAATTTGCGCGTACTGCATTTAGACAAAGAATTACATTGACCGACATTTCTCACGTTTCAAATGAATCTAATGCCTGTTTCTATTAATACAATTTAATTTAATATCAGTTTTCAACTTACTTTTTATCTTTTCTATTTCTCAAAGAAAAAAGGTGTAAAATAAATTGAACTGAAATTATAGTTAATCTATAATATAATTGAACTGAGATTAAGTTAATCTATAATACATTGATAGAAACGGGTATAAATTATTCAATTCAATCGCGGAATTAAATTAATTGTTCCAGGGATGCAAAATCGTGCAATATACGTATATCTATTATAAATAGATGCGTAATAAATTTCGATTTTGTAACTTTTTAAAAAATTTGTGAAAATTGAGAATTTTATAGAGACGTTTCTTAAACCTTTATCAGTTAAACGTTATATTTATAAGCATGCAATATGAAAGTTTAATAACTCTGAAAAGTTCTATATTTTTTTTATATTTGCTTCATTAAAGTAATTTATTTAATTTACACTCACCATAAAATATAAAGTAACAACACTAGTAACGCTAGATAGTAAAAAATGATGCAATGTGAATGAAATGCATGCGAAAATGTGGCTTTACGGTTTTAATTGATTTCACAAAGGCTTGAAGAGAAATTTTGAGAGTGATCCCTTTCAAAATTTTGTACGGATAAGCGTAAGATTATTATTGTTACCGTTATTCTGTATAATACCATTGATGATGGACGTGCTATACCTATAACTCGTTTGTTTAATCGTAAATGTGATTTTTTTCAGGCCAACGAGTAGAGCCTCGGGTGGCACAAACGTTAACAACAACGGCGGTCTTCAGGTCGGGATCGCTGACGATCAAGCGAAAGATTTCGATTTTGAGAAGACCGAGATGAAGTACGACTCGACGGGAATGTTCCATTGGAGTCCCTCCCGTAATCTCGAAGACTGCATACTGGATCGTAATCAGGCGGCGATGACAGTTCTTAACGGACATGTTGTCGTCTGTCTGTTCGCCGATCCCGACTCGCCTCTCATTGGACTGAGGAATCTTGTCATGCCATTACGAGCTTCCAATTTTCATTACCACGAGCTTAAACACGTAGTGATAGTTGGATCGGTGGACTACATACGCCGCGAATGGAAAATGCTGCAAAATCTACCAAAGATATCGGTTCTAAATGTGAGAAAGCTGTTCTCGTTTCATTGAATCGCAGCATTATTTTGCGTGATGATGCAAATTTTTTATTATCTAGTTACTAGTATATAGTACGTCTCTGATTTATACAATAGAATACTTGTTCTTTATCTGACTCTAAATTTTTCTAAACTTAGAAGAAAATTTTCTTCATCAAGAGTGTAATTAAAAATTATTATTTGTAACAAATTTGTAACGTATTATTTTTGTTAGACGCTTAAACAATAGAATCAAAAATTATAAAGATCAGATAATTACATAAAAATTTGTTGCGTCTTGAAGTATAATTTAATAAGTTATTCTAATTTTAACTTATTCTAATATAGAAAAATAACTTTTTTAGATATAATAATATGGTTATATTATTATATATTAATATTTAAGATGCGTATTAACAAAGATTTCTTAATTTAATTAGTAAATTAAAATATAACAGAAGTACCTTTCTGTCAATACATAATTTGTTATTTTTTTATTACTATATTTTCCAAAGATCCCGCGTAAAATGTGAAAGTAAAAACGGAATATCGAGATGTCTGTATACAAAATTCTTCTTTATTATTTGAACGCAGAGTTGTTAAGGTATAATAATATAAAATTTTGTTTATTAAAATTTTGAGATATGGATATTCAGGTATACATGCATTGACAGAAAAGTTAGTGAAAGTCAAAAAAATTTGCTTTTAATACGAATTGATCGCTAACATAAAATGAAGACAATGAAAAATAATTTAGTGATGGAAATTCTTTTTCTATAGCTTTTATTTTACTTGAATGATATTTTGCAGGGTTCACCATTAAGTAGAGCCGATTTGCGTGCCGTTAACGTGAATCTATGCGACATGTGTTGCATCCTGTCGGCTAAAGTGCCTAGCAATGATGACCCCACCCTCGCCGACAAGGAGGCCATCCTTGCATCCCTCAATATCAAGGCCATGACTTTTGACGATACAATCGGCGTGCTTAGCCAAGGTATATAATTATCGTTCGGTAAACGGAGATCTCATTTCTCTGTAAGAACCATGCTATTAAATCGAAAGTGCAAATTATAGCAGATAATGAATAAGATAATTTGATCGCAGTTGGCAGCCCGATCGTCTTGCAGCGACGGGGATCTGTTTATGGAGCAAATGTGCCAATGATCACAGGTAACAAAAAAGATTCTATCAAATCTTTAGAATTACTTATATTTCTACGTATTCAATATTGATAGAATAAAAATGAAGATTACTAAATACCATTATAATTAATTAGAAATTTTAATTACATTATAAAAGAAATGATTTTGTCCAAAGATATTATTTTGTAATATTTCTTGATTAAGATCTTAAGATATTTTTGAATATTGAAAGTAGTCGTACTTATGGCTACGGTTATTTTGTTGCTATTCCAGAGCTTGTAAATGACAGCAATGTGCAGTTCCTTGACCAGGACGACGACGATGACCCGGACACAGAACTCTACCTCACTCAACCGTTCGCCTGTGGTACTGCCTTCGCAGTCAGTGTATTGGATTCTCTCATGTCAACGGTTAGTATTAAAAATAAGTCTTTATAGACTGTATATCAGTCAATAATACACTTTATATACTCGTTTATTCGCGTTCATATAATAGTTTATTAGCAGCCTCGTTTCTTGTCATTTTACCCATACAATACAGAAGCTTGCAACAATATTGTTGTAACGTTACTATAATGTTACTGCAATATTTCTGTAATTTTGTAATGCTAAAATGATCTATACTATATGAAGTTATGACGAAAGTTACAATTTTACTGTATTTCTGTAGACATATTTCAACCAAAATGCGCTAACTCTAATTCGATCACTGATCACCGGTGGAGCTACGCCTGAGTTGGAATTGATCCTGGCTGAAGGAGCAGGCTTAAGGGGAGGGTACAGGTAAGATCTTAATAATATTCACGTCGTGTAATATATAATTGTTAAGGAGAAACTTTGCGCAATGATAAATGTGTGTGACATTTTTGTTTAATTCACAGTACGGCAGATAGTCTGGCTAATCGGGATCGGTGTCGTGTTGGTCAGATCGCGTTGTACGACGGGCCATTGGCTCAATATGGCGAGGGAGGCAAGTACGGTGACCTCTTTGTCGCAGCATTAAAGTCGTACGGAATGCTGTGCATTGGTCTGTACAGGTACAGGTACCGGACTTTTTTCCCTCTCTCGATGGTATTTATTGGATTACCCTACGCACATATATATTTCTATACATTGTATATATTACCGTTCAAAAACAGCGACTACTCCGATTGCTGCCATTATTGTACCGCCGTTTATTACCTCTTACTATTCACGTACTTACTATGTGACTTATGATTTTCTGCCGCACACCTTTTACACTTTACGTTTTTGCATCATGAAAAAGAAAGTAATGAAAAGCAACAAGTTGTAAGTTGCCCTCATCCAAAAAATACCTATCATTTTTTACTACTTTTTCTCTCTTCTTTTCTCTATCTTTCTCTATCTTTCTATCGTTGTATCATCTTGTTGTTTATTTAGCATTTAGTTGTTCGTCATACGGTCCACATATGTTTAATTTAGTTTAGCTTAGTTTACTTTAGTTTAGCTTAACTTAGCTCTACTTTAATTTAGTTTAGTTACACTTGGTGTATATAGTCAAGTCCGTGTTTTTTTTTATCATCATCGTTCTTCTTATTTGCTAATATTCACTCGAATTTTCTAGGTTTCGAGATACTAGCTCGTCGTGCGACGCCTCTTCCAAGCGATACGTGATCACAAATCCACCCGATGACTTTACATTATTACCCACGGATCAGGTATCACATCTCAAATAATCTCATTACGTAGAGTTCTAAGATTGATAACAAATTTTATTAGACAGTATGATTTTATTAGTATAATAGCAATATTATATAAATACAATTTTATTAATAACAGCAAAAGTATGAAAATTAAATAATTTATACTAATAATTGTTAGACCTATTTAACTCTCCGTGGGCTATGGAATTTTGCATCTTCCATTAACAATCTAATTAGATTAATTGTTAACTTTAAGTATAGCAGACTTTTATATTCTTCCAAACTGTATAAAAATCTAAAAATAATTTTTGCATATTTTTGTGATAGCTTTAATAACCAGTTTTTACTATCATGGAAATCAGATTGTATTTTATGTACTCTTATACATTAGTTTAAATTTATCTATCAGAATTTATAAATATCGATGCGGTGTCTTTAACTTGATCGACTGAGGATAAATATCTTGTTAATCGTACAGTTTTAATTTTGACAATTTGTAACAAGCAATTCAAATGGCTTTACTGAGTCATTGTTACTATCTTGCCAGGTTTTCGTGCTGATGCAATTCGACCCGGGTCTTGAATACAGGCCGAGCAGGGGTGCCCGAGGCAAGGACGACTCCTCCTGATTGTTGCTGTGTAGCGCCCTCACCGATGGACCATATTCTTACATCTAATCATGCATTAGAAACCATCGTGCAGTCCGTCGTCCCTACAACTGTCCTGTCTTCGTCAACGAACGCCACTATCTCATGATATCGCGCATTATCAACAAGTTTAACCGCGAGTTATTGTTCACAAGGCGGATTGCAACCATGTCCATTTCTTCGATTGACCGATACATACAGCGACAGTGCATAGCAAACGTAACGCTTAATCGCCAATTTAATCATCTAAAAACTCTTATCTCGTTCGCCCCGCATGGAAATCGTTTTCATCGAGTCGTCGAATATTTCGAGAGTATTGCTCGATCGCCAGAACGAGGACTCGGAAAAAAAGCCTAATGAACAAGTTATTAAAGAGATGTGAGAAAACAAGATGGATGAAGAGGATATACGAGAAGAGGAGGACAATGGAAGGGGCAACGGAAAATAGCATGATGCTGTGCGGTCCGAGGGTAGCTACACATCTCTCTTTCTTTATTGAAGTAAATTATCTTCGCTCGAAGATGATAATATAACGACTGAATTGGACATTTCGCAAAGTGTAACACTGTGTTATTAAGCCTCCTACCGATCCTTTGTGGCTGGAAAGGAGGAAAGTGAACGCGGGAAAAAGGACACATAGCTTAAAGTTCTAGCACGTGGCTTAGCCTCAACGAGCGCTGTGGAATTGCAGTATCCTGCGCGGTGGAACGGAAAAACAATCACCGTCACAGTAAAATCTCCGGTTTCTTTATTCTCCGGCACATGTTAATGTATATAATACGTAACCCAGAGAACACCGTCGTTCAACGTGCTGTGAGAGGGCGACGAGACGGCGGGAAGAGGCGGAGAAGTGCAGCGAACTGGACACGTTCGTCGATGTTCCCTCATCGAGAAACTCCTCTCATCCCGATCTCGCGTCGGACTCTCGTGGACGGTGCCGGACTACACGCAATCCTTACCTCGTGTGTCTTGTTTTACGACTAATGAAACCGAAAAAAAAATCTCAATCAAGCACTTTCTACAGGCTCTATATATATGTATATATATGTATACATATATACATATAGATAAATTACGATAAAATATCCTTTTCCACACAACTTTAAGAGTATAAATCGTCTATATATCGGTATATATACATTATAGGTATATATGCACATATATATATATGTATACACATAGATATTCTCTCTTTTATATATTTTTGTGAAACTCACGTGTGTATATATACGGACGTACATATATAAAAAAAAAGGAGGAAAAATATACATATGTGTAAAAGAAATACACGGATACACACCTATACACAAATACTCTCTCCTTTCATACACGAACATAAGTATACTCATTTTACTTTTCTATCTTCCTTTTTCTTACTGCGCGTACGTAACGTGTGCGCGCGTGCAACGTGGTCCCTTTCGCTCATACACGAATAGAAACACGCACATACAATCACACACCTACGAACAGGTATCATAACACATACGCGCGATCACACAAATCGAATCCAATTCACAATTCGTCACATACATATACTTACATGACATACACAGACATTTTTCTCTTTCTGTCGCTCTTTTTTTCTTTCTTTTATTCTCTCTCTCTCTCTCTCTCTCTCTCTCTCTCTCTCTACATATATATATGTATATGTAAATGTATACATATATATAAAATATGTACACTCACTCACATACATGCAATCTGAAAAATAGTGGAACTGTTCTTCGGAAAAGGAAGTGACATATAGAATTTGGAATAGCGATAAACGAAAAAAAAATCGTGATAATGATAAACACACGGTATATGTCAGCCGCCGCAAGATCGATTTTGCGCTTTGATCATCACAGGATCGCAGACCTGGAAGTCCATAAACTGAGGAGTAGCAAATAGTAGGAAGAAGAAAGAGAGAAAGAGGATAGGATCGCAGACCTGGAAGTCCATAAACTGAGGAGTAGCAAATAGTAGGAAGAAGAAAGAGAGAAAGAGAGAGAGAGAGAGAGAGAGAGAGAGAGAGAGAGAAAGGGAGATTACAAAGCAGACAAATTAACAAACTAATTATGGTAGTCGCTGCCGTGTTTCGTATTACGCATATACCTTGTATAATTGTCGTCATCGTCGTGTCGTCGTCGTGTCGTCGTCGTCGTCGTCTTCGTCGTCGTCTTCGTCGTCGTCGTCGTCATCGTCGTCATCGTCGCCGCCGCTGCCGCCGCCGCCGCCGCTACTGCTGCTGCTGTTGCTGCTGCTGCTGCTGTTTGCAATATCCACGTGCACTGTTCACTGCCACTGCAGTTCATGTTAATATCGTTGTACATAACTTTCTATGTATAGTTCGAGTGCGTAAAAAATGAGAAAAAAGGGTAAGCAAGGCGAGGCGCGCGAATGGACACGCACCCTGCCAAGTACAAAGGACACATAGCGCCGGTCGCATAGGACTGAGCTGCACTGACAGTCCGGATAGACTAACTTCCGATTAGCGAGTTATCATTCCTCTGCAGGAGCAGCACTGATAACGCGTACAAACCAGCAAAGTTTATCATAAATATAATAAAAGTTACGAAACGTGCGTATAATACATATAAGGAAAATTAAATTAAATCGCATTCGCCGGATGATGTCGGTGCAACTAGCCCGAGAATGGTTGTTCACGCAGGGTCTTAAAAATCTCGCGGTTCGCGTGAAAAAGATATCTCATCGTATATTTGACTTCCGCCGTCGGATTGTGTGAAACTACGTTGTGAAAATACTTCGTTGTCAGCACAAACCAAATATAGTTTTGCACCACCTGTTACGTATATTTATGTATTGAGATAGAAAGAATGATCAATTTTAGCCATTAATCAATTTTGATGGTTTACCTTCTCGATTAGAGAAAATTAATTTAAATAATGGTTACATATACGATTTAGACATTTAGAAATTTGAATGGTGCAAAACTCTTTTTGAAGCGTGTGTATATTTGTCAAATGAGATATTTTTTTTAATTGCAAAATTTATATTCTACTTTTTTATAGACTAGCTGTAAAACAAATTGCTGGAATACGAGTAACCAGCCAGAAAATTTCGAAGTTTCGATGTTTCTTATAAAATTTATTGAATAAGAAATTATTTGATTAAAAATACTTAGAATTTTGTATAGCATATTCAAAGTGTGTGTGTATATCAGAAAGATATTGTTAGATCCTTATACGACGATTGTAATTTCATTAGTTCAATTCAATTTGTAGTTAGACGTTCCGGATTTTTTCTTTTATAAAGTAATTTATTTATATAAAATAAATATTTTTATAATCAAGTCATTCATAAAGTATACCATATGTATTCATGGTATAAAATTTTTGATCTTTTATAGTGTTAAAAATATTTCAAGTTTATTTTCGGAATTTGAAAATAAATTCATCTTAAACATCGTGACATTGAAAGATGATGATTGTAGGATTACGTTTTCAATATAAATTAATTCTGATTATGTGTATTCGTATTAACAATGTATCTTTGCAGTAATCAAATTTCGTGCGCCCTTGCTTGTCTTTCCTCTTTTTCCCAGCCGCTAAATTGAGATAATTCGAAATTAAAACGTATAATGCAACCATAATACGAGACGGAAGCACAAGAAAAAATTTATGAGAGAACAGAAAGATTAGAAAACTTATAAATATATAGTTGCTGCGTATGTTTTATTTGTATTCAAAAAATTTTTTTAATAAATAGGGGGTAATTTTCTCAGCCTTATTGCAATTTGACAGGAAAGTTTTGGTGATTATATACCACGTACACAATGTACATAAAAGAATAAGAGAGAGAAAATTGGAAGATATCTTTCAAATTTTCTGAATGGATTCTTAAATTTAATTTCATACATTAACAAATTTTGATGATTTAAATATTAAGTTTAATAATTATTATTGAATTAAGGAATTTAAATTTTGAACTTCTATTTAAGAGTTCAAATTTCCAACTGCTTCAAAATTTTAAATATATGATTAATAAGATAAAATTTGTAATTAAAATTTTCTTATTTAAAATTGGATAGTAATTTTTTTTTTAAATTTTACAGAATTTTAACAAAGATATAGGTGCAAATATATTACAAAAATGTTTCGAAAGTGTTCAACATGTTTTCCGATTTTCGAACCTTTGAAAAACTTTCTGTTCATATAGTAATATTCATCACGAAGGAATTATGAAGTGATTTAAAATTTGTCATTCTTGTAAATTCATTGTTTTCTTCGTATTGGAAGAACTATAATAATCGGTGCCTCGGAGTACTAACAATAAATGAAAAGACGGCTAGGAGGAAGCTATAAGACAAAAGTCTCGATTGACTAGTCTAGTATTTTTTTTCTTTTTATAAGTCCCTGGCGAAGGAACATTTATCGGTGAACCATGAGAATGCAAGCAAGTCCTTCGCGTTTTGAGTACCGGAAAAAGTTTCGGTGACTCTGTCTCGCCTTGATGCGATTCTATACGAAAATAATACAAATTCGTGCGTTAGATTATGTGGAAGTCGTTTAACAAATGACAAAAAAGAAAACTCGTCGGAGCCTTGTGTAGGATTTTAGATGATTGGTCGAGATTTGTGTCGCGCGAGGCGAGCCAAGTTAAGAAAATGACAAATTAAAAAGGTAACAATGCCTTTTGATTTACTAAAACATTTCCATAGTTTATTATGTCTCTTTGATGTATATAAAATATTGTAAATTGTTGCGCAAAACGATTACGGTCTTTGCGATATTTTTTTTAAATAATATAATCATATATAATATTCGGCAAATTTATGCAAATTATGCAAGAGACCTATGGCTGGCCAGTCGCGCGTCGCAAATTACTCATGCACTCTCTTTAAGAATTAAATCACGCACTGATTCAATCGATATCATCAACTTGTCATGTTCTCGTTGTATCGCGCGAAGCAATTCTGACGCATTTGTGTGTATGTGGAACGTGTGTATCTAAACGAAGTATATACTTTAAAGTATATACATATATATACATACATATATATATAAATATAAGCTCATAAAAATCGAATGAAGAACCCGCAGTGGTTCAAGATATAAGTATATATATATATATATAGGAATTTAAAAAATGTAAAAAAAGAAGAGGGAATTAATGGCGCGCTGAGCGTACGCCACCTCATTGACCTCATCTAATGCTTTTTTATCTGTACATTTACAATTTGTGTACCAATGAGGAACGTTGTTTAATCATGTTGTTGATGTTATTGTTAAAGAATGAGATTCAATATTGTACATAACTATATATTCATTATAATTGATGATATAAATAATTATATACATAAAAGAGTAAATCCCCCAGAGAGTCCCCTATGCCTCGCGTTTCGATATGCGGATCCACGTCACTTTGTAATAAAAGGACAAGTACTTTACAAACCTGTGTTGAGCAGGATAAAACTGTCGGCATAACAATCGTGTCATTGTACATCCATGCCATGAAAATCGCGTTAAAGTGCCTCCACATAATCAAATAGTATTGTTTCTTTTCGGATTGTTCAATATGCTGGCAGGAGTATCCGTAAGCTCATGAATTGAATTTATCACATAGTTTATGTTTATAGCTACATAAAAATTTAATAGCTCAGTGAAAAAGTGTTTAAAAAAGAATTATTTACAACCGAAAAGTGTAATATATATTAATTTATTATTATTGGTAAATTGCATTAGTCAAATGTTAATTAGCATGTTGTATTAAATTTTAATAATTGGTAGATCAATATAAGTAAAAGTTTTGTAATACGTATTATAACCATTATTATAATAATGAAAAGACATTTTCCTGACAAATTGAGATTTAGATATGGAAATCAATTTAAAAAAAATTTTAATAATTCGTATAAAACAGTAATTTTCTAACTTTTGTACTCTGTAACACAGCTAGATATTGTATTACTTTAACGTTTTTAGCCAGAAATTTTAAGTTTTTTTAATACTTATTTTAACTTATTAAATGCATTAAAATATTTTATTATGAAAATAATATATCTCAACTCATTGCACTTTTTTGAAAGCAACAAGAAAGTATTTAAAAGGTAAGTACCAAATATATTAAATATATATTTTTTATTATCAACAAGAACAATGAGTTTTTTCCCTTTGATTGTTTTATGATATACCTGTATCTACGATAATAATATATCTACGATCTTTGATTTTATTCTGTATTATGTTGTTTGAATCTTTTCCGTTTATATAGAATATAATTATATAGCAATGTATTATAAAAATAATAGTTACATATGCAAATATATACATACATACATATGTAAACATATTATTACGTATAAAGCTTTATAACTCGAATTAAAAAATCATTTCGCTTTTTAATTATATTTTCACATATTTGGTCTAACATCATTATTGTTTATTGCTTGTATTAATATTTAAAAAATATGACAACAATTATTAAACTAATCTTATTTTAGCATTAAAAAAGTAACAATAACGAGGCAACAAGTTACTTTTAAAAAGTAACTTCTCTAGTATAACCAAAACATCCTTTAAGAGCCATCTCACTTTCCTGAAGATGAATACCGTCAATTTTCTAATTGACGTTGGTTGATGTTAGTTGAGCATCTAGCAACACACTTTATTGTCAGCAAGCAATAAAACAGTTATCCTATCAACTCGATCTTCTAAATTCTTACACAGTTACGTAATATTTCTAAATATTCACATTTAACAGTTTATATGAAGACAAAGAAATTATCTTGATTTGTTATGTTCTTTTTACGAAGAGCATTTTAAACGTATATACTTCAGCGATTGTCGAATAATTTATTTAAAGATAAATAAAATTGCATTAGACAAGAATAATTTCTTCCAAGATAAGTAAAATCAGGGTTAGTAGACAGACAAGATAAGCACAAATTAGCAATAAATAAATTCATAACATGGACATATTCATCTTTGTAAAGACAGAATTGCAAAGTGGACTTTGCATAGCAATTAAGAGCGTCTGCCCGAGATAATTTCGAGTTTTTCATAATTTCTTTTTACTTGATTCATTTTCGCTGTCTAGCTTCTTGGAGCAATAATCCATGATGTCTTATATTCAACTGATGCACCAAGTTTAACGTTACATCCCATAGAACGAGAATAAATAAGTAAAGGAATTACTATAGAATGAAACAAATGCAATTATTATATTTAACTGTATTTATATATTTATATAAATGTGTTATCTCTTTAAGTTATGATAAAAAATGATAGTAAAAGCCAAGTTAAAAAAGTCATTAAAAAATTGAATTCGAAGGTATCGTAGATTGATATGTACTTTAAATACCGTTATCAGTAATGTATGCCGCAATTGATTGATAAGAGGTACAATAATAATTTAAATATAGCTTGAAAGAATTTGGAAGACCAATAAAAGTGTTACGACCGATCTGATAAAAATAAAATGAATATTCTTATCAATTTGTAATTGTGACACTTACAATTATTAATAAAAGTTTCGAAAAAAAGGAAAAACATTCAAAACATGAAGCGATTAAGAATAACATCTTTCAAAAAATAATAACATGTAATTAAAATTTTGTTGAACACCTATCTATTTTATTTGCAAATGTGAAATCCATTGTTGCACACAAAATTGACTCAATGTCTACGTCTTTTTCCGATTTCCATGCACAGAGAGTAAAGGCGCATAGGAAAAGATTTTTATTCGTGCGTCATTAACGTCCGCCGCATCCATATATAATCGATGTGTCATAGGTCAAACCGATGAGATATCCATTTGCAGTCTCCGTCGTGCAGTCAACGGCGCGTTCTGCGATCGAAACGCCAAGTTTTCTGTCATCTCATCCGGCAGCCGATTTGGACGCGATTGGTCCAGTTACCAGTTACACGATATTTGCAGAGAACCAACAGGTAGCTTTCTTCCGTTTCAGCTCGTCTTTACTTTTAGGTAAGAGTTTTCACCGTATAAATCCATCTCCACTGATTTATTCCGGATTAGTAATTCGTATAGGTACACTCATACATGTGTGCATGTTATATGTGTACACACATGTGTGTGTATATGTATTTGAATGTAATTGTATAGCTGATTGTACAGTTGAACCGAGAGCGAAGTAAAAAGGAAGAAGGGGTAATGCGATCTTTATGCGAAATCAGCATTTAGTAATGATTGACTTGAAGTGCGAGGAAAGAAACAGCAAAAGATAAAAAATGTGAGTAATACTACGCGGTCAAATTTTTTATGTTGAATCTGCCTAAACACCGCTTTGACACATGATCGGTAATTTATAGTTGCGCGAGATCAGATTAGAATTTAATTGGAAATGCACTAACGACACACAGTATAATCATTAAATAGAATATCTCAAGGAAGATAAGCAGCAAATTAAGTATCATTAAATAGATGAAAGAAATATTTGTAATTTTCCTAGGGGTATTGCTATACGTTTTTTGTTCTTATTTTAACGTCAAAATGACGACAAATAACGTCAGCTTATTACTTGAGCTAGCTACAGATGTACAAATTATTTGAAATAAAACGTAATAAATACATTAATACAAAAGCAAGAAGTTGCATATAATCTTGCAGATGATAGAACAGATACTATAGACGCAATACTACATATATACACGTAAGGAAAGTTTGACCTCTGCACGAGAAAGTAAGAATATCCGTCCGTCGACGTAATCGTTCGTCGACATAATAGGGAAATTTTACCGGAGGGAGTTTCTTCTTCAGTTCGATTGTCCTCAACACAATGAATTACAAGTGAAAGTCACGTCGAGAGTTCTGACGGAATAGCGAAAAGATTGATAAATTTCTTTTTTCATCCTATTATCGAATTGACGAATCGCGTCAATCTAATAATATTTCATCCAGCAGATTATTTGATGCTTGCAAAACAGTCGTATATAGCCTCGACATTAACCGCGAAGCAAAATCTTTATTACTGTCCCCTCCCGGTATGACCTCCCTTATCAGTTCACCGAGCGAATGCTGAACGAATCGTTTCTTTTAAGTGACATATGGCGCCGTTTACATTTAGCGAAGAAAACACGTGTTTTTCCGTGCACTGGTGTTTTAGTGATAATCTTTTCTTTATTAGCTACAATTGGAAGGGAAGGGGACACTTATCCGTAAATATGAGTTTTGCTTTCTTAAATTAAATGAGAAAAAAGGGAGAGGAGAGAGAGATTATTTGAACGAAGCTACGTAAATTATTTCAAATAGAATGCATGTTATTTTATAAGTTATGATAGATAGAGAGAAATATAATAAATATAATAATTGATTACATGAAGCAGTGGCTTGCATATTGGTATCAAATGATACCAAGAACTTATTATAAAATGCAAATACACTTGCTTTTAATAAAATTAAATATGTATGTTGACTTAATGTCAATCGATTTTATAAACGATGTTTTCTATCTGTTTTTGAGTTCGTAATTTTTTAGCATATATGAATTTATAAATGTTAATTAAAGCATTTTTTTTTTAAATAAATGCATGATTAATCACAATATTTTTTCTTTTGAAAAAATATGTATGTACAAGGGAGAGAAAAAGAGAAAGAGAGGTCGGTAAAATAAAAAAAATTTGAGATTCTTTTAGAAACCAAAAAAGAATTTCTTAGAATTCTGAAAGAACATTTTTTGGATATTTAACAATTGTAAAACTGTGGAAATTGCTGACAATATTAAGATACTCATAGATTAAAACGCAGATTATTCCGTTAATAATTTTCTTTTTATTTTATCCAACATTAATTGTAATTACAGTAACTACGTATTTTTCATATGGCACGAACAAATGCGAAAAGGCGGCATTCGGATTTGCCGCATTTTGAATCTGTGACTAAACTCTCCAGTCTTCCTATCGTGGAAAGCGGTATACACATCGCTGGTAATGTGTATACAAAAATTAAGGTACGTTTAAAATAAATGTAGGAAATAAATGTTCAAATTCTAATACAAAATGTTGCTCATCATGCCATTAGAAAAATAGTAAACCTTGCCTTTAATTATTCAAATAAGATACGACATTTGCAAACATCTTCTCAAATAACAGCGATAAAAAGTGCAAACAATGTAATCCCATTTTCAAGTTAATAATTATTTAATGATTTTTTTCACAGTCAAATTTTCAATAGTTTTTTAATATATGTATAATTTAAACTGCTTCTTTTTTTAGCGTTCGAATTCTTTAATGAATTGGAGTTTAGATACGGCGGAACAGTCATTAGCGATAGCTACGGCAAAAGCAAGACCAGCAATTGTTGCACTTAATGGACCCATTACGACAATTGATCAACTATTATGTAAAGGTATTGACATCGTTGAGCAGAGAGTACCGGCAGTGAGTCTTCCCCCTCATGTTGTAAGTTTACGAATTTTGGTTTACAAATCTGCAAGACAATTTATGAAATTTATATAAAAATATCCTTTGCAGATGCATTAGTAAAATAGAGTATAATTATACATTCACATTATTATATCGTTTACATATACAATTAAAAAATATTTATTTTTTCTATTAAAATATTATAAATACAACTTAAACTGAAAAATTAATCCTGCGGAAATCAATCAAAATAATTGGCTTATTTCTCGTGTAATTAATTTTGATAGAAGCGTAAACAAGTTAATCTTGTTTCATGCTCCAGATGTATTTAAACACGAAGGACTATGTAAATGAGAAAATTGTTAAACCGGTTTTAATACGTGCCGGAAGTGTTAAGCAAATCGGTAGTCAAGCTGCCAACGCTGCTGCTGATAGATTGGACGGCGCACTAACAGTTGCGGATGAATACATGGATCGTTACCTGCCAGGAGATCCAGCTGATAAAGATCCAGCTGTTAAAAATCCAGCTGAGGAAGATTCAGCTGATAAAGATTCAGCTGATAAAGGTTCAGCTGACAAAGATTTAGATGATAAAGATCAAGCTGATAAAGATGGTAAATACGTTAATATGTAGGATAGAATTAGGTATTGCGAGCATTTTAAGAATTTTGATATTTCTTACATATTAATAAATGAAAAAAATTTTGTTTCTATCATTTGATAATTTTGTTAGTATTTTATGCACTTTGGTACAAAATTGATTATTTTAATGTAAATACTGAAGTAGTAGGAGGAGAGTGGCTTATATTATTCAGCCAGTGTTAATTGTTAGTAGAATAATGTGGGTATCTCTATATATAATATAAGCATAGAAAATTTTTTTTAAATAAATTATGCAGAAATGAAAGATCGTGTCATTGATTTTTAAATACGTGTGCAATATTTTTTTCGTATTCTAAAATGAAATTATTGAGTATTTATAACGTATAATATACTTATTCAACCATTCATATAACACCCAAATATTTGCTCATAATACCCGAACTTTAAGTATACTCTTTATACTTAAAATAATTCTCTTTCCTAAATAATATTTAATTTTTTTCAATTAGAATTCTATGTTACAGTTTAAAATAAAAAAAATAACAAAAAATAATTTATTTTTTAATTTACGGAGATTGATAATAGACGTAGAAATATGCTCATAATTGACGACCATCCTACGACGACAAACCATCTCAGGAGTTTGTGAGATTAGATTGAATATTATTTACTTTACGAATATTGACATACAGAACAAGATATCCTATCTCAAGTAGGAAAATAACGTATTAATATATTATTAATACGTTATTTTACTGCTTATTTAATTCACGATATATTTTTGAAATAAATTAAATTATAGTTTAAACTCCAAAGCATATTGAAAGGTGTTGCGAAGATCATTTCAGTTTTCACAGATAATGGCACTACTGGTACCAAGTATTTATAACAGAAATATTAAGAATGTTTATCTTGCGGTGCTCATAATATCTAATTCTACTCTAATTAATTCATCATATGTATATATATATATAAGATGTGTTATTTTATGCATAAAACGTGCAATAACAAAAATAAATGTTAAACTTGGCAATTTATGTCTTAGAAGTTAGCTCCAATGAAACCATGAGCAAAACGATACGAACGATCAAACATGGCGCAAGGTTTTCGCGAACTTTACAAAGAAGATTAACACGACGCACTTTAGCTGAAGCGCGCGCACTCAAACAGCAAGGAACAGAGTGCGTCCATGTTCTTCTATATGTCGTGGAATTGGTAAGACTTGAGATTTAATCGATTTATAATTTATTAATCATCAACATACACAGTTTAATTATGTTAAAATGTACATCATATATATTATACATTTAGATATCATCTGTTTTTTTAATCCTTATAGTATTATATCATGGCAAAATTATTTAGCTCTTGATATCGTACATACTCATAACGTATACAGATACATTTTTTAATTTTTTAGTAGTTATTTTAATAGTAACGTATCTGCTATAACACTGATTAGAAAGATGTTTGTGCAAAATAGTCGCTGACACGATCAAGGACTGTTACTTTTATAGCTATGAGACGCTAAAAATATATCTTACATACATATTCTATGCCCGAAAAAATAATAAAACTACAAACATTTATATAAGTTACTTAATATTCTTTCTTGAAAGCAACGTTTGCATACATATTTTTCCATTATGTAATCGTTTTGAGATTTTAGTAAAATTATTTTAAAATGTGGATTACGGTACATGGAATGTAAAAATTTATGCTTTTAAAAAATGTGAGAACAATATTAGGATATATTCAAACTTTATCATTTACATTTTCTTGTATCTTAAAATTCAAAAACTCTTTATAAACGGATTTGATAAGAAAGCTTTGATGAAAGTAAGCTCGGAGATAAGTGCGTGACCGAGGTCACGAGAACGTTCAGTGATCTTCGCATAATAAATATTTATAAATATTTACAAATGAAAAGAAACTAGTATTAAATCTCGATACAAATACTTACTACGATATGATCATTGAATCTCCTCGTGATATTAATTTAATCACGTGCTTATTTCTAAACTGTTCGTATAAACTTATTATATATGCAATGAGCATGATTTTTTAATGTATGCGCAGATAGCCACGGATCCAAAATTAGCCACGCAAAAAGCAAAGGCGTTATGGGCCTCATTGAGTCAACCCGAGCCTGAAAATCAGGCGCGTCCAGATACGCTCGAACAGCTCCTCGTGCTTTTGACACGCGAATCCGCAAGGCGTATAGTGCATCTGGTGAATGGCACGGTGACATTGGCAGCGAGAACTCCGAGGCATTTAAGTCATCTACTTGCCCAGCTTTCTCATCAATTACTTACCGTTGTAGACGCTTCATTGCAGGTTACATCAACTTTATTGATCCGCCTTGATTTGTCGCATTTGTAACTCGGTTAACATTAAGGGAACGATATTTTTAATACATGTATAAAAATTATAGAAATAACGAAAAGATGTACTTTTAATCGAATATCAAGAAGAATGGTTTTTAACGATATATCACGCATGAAAAAAATAAAATTTAACTTTTATATGACTTCAATCTGTGCTTGTTTAAAAAGAAATACCATGTAACTCGTTTTAATAAAGATTTTTACATTTATTTTAATGCTAGTTTTATGTGTTGTGTGTATTATTTTGCAGATGGTACCTGCGCTTATTAATAAGAGCGATACGATACAACAACAAATATCTATTATACGTTCTGGGATTGAAAAGCTGAGTTCAACTGCGAATATAATATTGGTAAGTATGCTCTTGTAATATACATATATAATTATTTGAAATTATTGACATATATTATTTAAAGAAAATATAAAAAGCTTATAAAAATACTTATATCGTTATAAATCCTAGTTTTTACTACTTTTGTAAATCAAGAGATCTTTTTAAAGTTAAGCAAATATCTTTTCATTGCAATATATACAATAATGATTTTTTTACAGGAAAAATTCGCTTCATTCTTGGCTGGTCGCTCCAGCCCTCAAAAGACACCACACACACAAAACTGTGAGCAAAACCACAACAACCACATGTCAGAGCCTTCCGATCCTCCAGTAAATGGTATCGAGTAACAAGTGTTGCCTGAAAACTGCTACGTGCGGGTTTCTTTCCCCTTCTGGTATGGTTTTGAATTACAAGGTTAAAGACACGAGAATAGAAATCGCAACGAGTCGCTACTCATTGATTAGCATAACATCTTATCGACTGCGATTACAACATTATTTTTTAAGATTTTGTATTCGTGGTATAATATATACGTAATACAACAATATATTTTATTAATAGCATAGTGTATTCGTGCTATATTCATTTCATGCTTCTTAAATTAGTCTTTAGTAAAAACTAACTACGTTAATTAAATGTAAAGAAATAAAGGGACGTTTTATTTGCGACATCACGCAAAAATTTGAGTTTATTCTATTCCTATTTACTTTTAAAACTATAAAAATTATTTAAAACAAATTTTTATTTATCATTGTAAATATTCTTTCTTTCTCAGTTTTGTGAGATCATATAAAAAATATGTTTTAAAGAAAATATTATCTGTATATGTATTAAATATATATATTTATTTATATTAAAGAATATATATATGTATTGAATGTGTTTCACACATGTTATAAATCAGATAAATTTATTATCTATTATCGTTTAAAATATCAAATCTGCAGGATTTTAATGTTTAGATGAGAATAATGTGAGACGTCTTATATTAACATCCCGTCAACGCTACGCTCTCTTCAGATTTCTTTCAATGGTGAAAGTAGAGAAATCTTCAGATAGTTACAGAACTTTTAAATCTACATATCTCTCTCATCCTATGTTCCTCAAGCAAACTGCTATGTATAATTTTAATATATATCAGCAAATATATATATGAAATGACGATTATTTTTTTATTGAATACTAATATTGAAAATAACGTATCAATGTACATTTTAAATTTAAAAAGTATTATTTACCATTTTTTATTAGATTCTATTTATAACTTCAACTTGATAGTTTTATAGAATATTAATAGAAATTAACGCATAATTAGGTATTCTTCATATATATTAACATAAAAAAATAAAGTTATATTTATAGTACAATATAATAATTATAATGCAACTTGTATTTAAATATTACAATAAACTTTTTTATTATAATATTTGAGAAGATTGTATATATATATATATACATATATATATTTTATATAAACATGCTACAATGTTTAAAATTTTTATATATGAAGCATGTTATAACATTTTAAAAATTACGGCACGTACTATTAATAATACATTTTTTAATCATTTTTAATTTAGTAAACTTTCTTATTAATATGTTGAACTATGATCACAACGCAGAAATTACAAACTTCTCGAAAGACTTAAACGATTGGGGTCAGATGAACGAGACATATCACACTTATTTGATGTTCACGCAGTACTTCATGCACCGAGTGATAAAGCTTATCTATAAATCGCACTGTCTAGACGAAATAGTATTTACATGTGTATGTATATGTATATATGTGGACTCTGGAATATAATCGAGTAGATATAAAAGCAGCTTCAAATCATTCCTTATTATGAAATCATTGTGATAATTATATAGTTTAACCTTGAACTGGTTATCCAATAAATTTTGTTCGTGGTTCAATATCAAAGTTCACAATTTTTAATTGTTATGTTTGATTATTTTTCTTTAAATTGATATAATTTAAGAGAATTTAGAGCATAATGAGATTATCTTATTCGTGCATATTCTAAAGCATTATTGCTTATAATAATCATTAATTATTAATATAAAACTGAAGAAAAGAAATAGTAAAAATGAAGTACAAATAAATAAAAATTAGCATATATATATTTTTAATGTATAAATTTTTGTTTTATAAATAATAAGTAAAATAAGTATTGTAAAATAAAATAAATTCTTGCATGTAGTTCTTAGACTTTTATTATTTAGTCATTTTCGATTACCGAACATTAAACGAAGATTGATTAATGATGTTGATTAAATAATACAATAAAAATGTTTTAAAAAATGTATAATAACTATTATATACTAATTAAAACGAAATTTCTTATATTGTATAATTTAGTAACATTGTATTAAAGATATAAATAAATTATAAAACTATGAATAAATAATTAATTGTAAAGATTTAAGATTTAAAAATATTTTCCAAACAATACGATTTTAGAGCTGAGATTTTTTTATGGAACCAGGACGTGTTTAAATTTTTCTGATAGTTTTAAATCATCTGCGACCGTCTATGCGACAATCACACTAATGATGATATTACAAAACCTAAATTATCTATCTGACGATGTAGATGGAATGGACTTTGTACTGAGGAGGCATGATTATGGAAAAGAACAGTAAAGAACCATGTCCCCTTTTTATCTCACAATATTATACTAGAAATATATTGAATAAGAATATCTTTCCTAGTATTGAAGCATCAAAAAATAGGAGGAAAATTATATTGTTTTATTAAGACTACGATTTTGTAAATTTAAATGTGAACAATTTATTTCGTGTACTATTTAATATTATATAATGGTTTACATATAAATTAATATCCATTTTTTTACAATTATATATTAGATCAAAGTATCTTACTTTCTTTAAATTAAGTAATAGAAATATCGTATATACCAATGTACTTGAAGAAGGAGAGCATTTATCCTTGCTTTCAATGACATATTATTCTATAGAACTGACCTTCCCGTGTGTTACGCATTCTGCTTTTTTGGAAAAAATGATATATTATATAGTCACGGTCGGGCAATGTAATTGCGTGAAATGCGTTCGAAAGTTAATGTAGAATGTTGCACATATAACACAGATAATTAAAATATTTTTATTAAAGCTTTGAAGAAGTATGTGTATATTAGAAAGAAATATTTGTACTTTTTATTTAAAACTATCACAGTTACACAATAACGATTAATAATATTAAAAAAATATAAAAATTGATGTTTATATAATAAATTTTTAGATTTGTACATATAAAAGTATTAAAGAATAATGTTACAATTAAAATATAACAGAAAAATTAATGTTTATACATATACTGTATATACAATATTTTTTATTAATTTCTTTTGACTTATTGTTAGTTTAAAATCAGTTTTGTTTGTAGGATGAACAACAAGTATTATGTTACTTAAGGATCTGACCGTGAGGATGTTTTTGTATCTACTAACCACAGTTAACAGATGTCGTACTTCGGTCAGTCTACAGTATTGGCTTATTCAAACTGCGTTTACTGCGCAGGCGGTTTTCTATGTTATAAGTGTTCAACGTGCGTGACCAGAGTCAGCACTCGTGCCGAGGTATCAGACGCGTTCGAGAGTCGCATTGGTGAAGAACTACCTGCTGATCGGCGTGTAATCCGACACTGTGAGTACTATTTTACGATAAAACAGTAATATTTAATCTCTTATTTAATGATATTTCATCCCCGAATTAAGATAGACCAAAGCTCCATTCTACAGTAAAGTGTTATATTTATAAAAATTTTTAATTAAAAATTGCGAAAGTAGTTTTTTCACAACATTTAACTATTATTACATATGTATTTGCACATTTTGGAGAATTTTTGCGTGACTTGTAGAAAGTTATATCATTATATAGCACATTACACAAAGTCATTAATTTTTTAAGTATATTATTTCTTCAATTTTATGGAGTTACAGTTTATTTAATTGAAAATATAATTGAGAAAATTTTTCATTTTTTTATGAGTTTTCAATTTTTGTCATAATAAATTGTGCATTGAGATTAAATAATATCACAATTATTTGACAATTAATAAAAATAATTGATTAATTCAATAATTTATTTAACTAAATCGTAAATAGATATTTAGGCTCTATCAACTTTTCAAGGACTTTGCCAAGTTCGAAAATATTATGGTATCGGTATTCGAAGATATTAATGTTTATGTCTTTATTCATTGTCACGAAGGATGATGTTCAGAATTTCTCTTTCAGCGTTTTTATAGAATGTCTTGATAAATTAATTGATTTAAAACTTTATGCTTTGACAAATTAATTGATATAAAATTTTATTTAATATAAGATACAAAAGTAAAAAGATGTAAGAAATACTTTCATAGACGAGAAGTTTTAAAAAATTTAATGTAAAGATTATTTATTTATCATTAAATACGTCATAAAAATATCAACAATTATTTTTAATAATGTTTAAATTAATTTTGTCAAGTTTTAAATGAATTGATTTTGTTTGTTTGTTTTAAAATGATTTGTTGTATTTTTTTATGTACGTGTTTAAATATATTTTTAATAAAATTATATTTCTTTGCATATAGAAATTAAATAATTCTTGTAAAAATATGTTTTTATTTAGATATTATATTTTCAACGTACGCGTGATAAACTTGTGCAAAAGCATGGCGACGGAAGTGGCACAACTTCCTCACCTAAAGGTCTTCGATCGCGTAATGGAATTGCCTATCGTTGAATTGGCAGTCGTCAAATCCGCAGAGACGTATTCCAGAGTGAAAAGTTCGTATCAATTGATGAATTGGGCTCTGAGTACAGCCGAATTGTCACTAAGCACCGCGACGAGACAAGCGATGCCCATCGCTGTACCCATCGCGAAAAGGCTTGAAAGTCCCATCAATTTCGTTGATAATACATTATGCTTTGGTCTTGATAAAATTGAAGAAAAAGTGCCGCTAGTGAAGGAGAAACCTGCACAGGTTTGTGACAAAATTTTTTTCTATTATATAATTATAATTAATATAATAAATATGAATTTATCAAAACTTATTAAATGATTGAAACTAAAAGAATAAGTACAATGATAAATAATGGATATACTTTCAGATTTTAGAAAAGGCAGTATCGAGAATTTCGTATGTGAACGATTTGATTCTTGAACAAGCAACGAATTTGCGAGACATCAGCTGGAATACGGCCAATCAAATACTCGATACACGCTATGGCAGTGTGGCTGTGAGAGGTATAGATAACACGGCCGTTGTCGTTGATAAACTCATTGACAGATATTTCCCCGCAACAAAAGAAGAAAAACCGATAGGTAACGCGTAAAATGTTAATTTCTTGATTTTATTGAATCAATTAAAGTTTATTCACATATTACTGTATATATATATATATATATATATAT